CAGCCCGACAGAGGCTTGGCAGAAGAGGGGATGAAGCCACGTGCCCGTGGGTGTCTAAGGACATGGAATCCCCGTTTCCTTCCCAAAAAGCACGGTGACAGCAGCGCTCTTTTTCTGCAGAGAGCAGCTCCGAGCGCCACGAGGGGACCGGTGCGTCTCGCGGCCGCGGCGTATCGAACACTCGCCGAGGGCCGGAGAGACGCTCCGCAAATGCCACGCACCGAAATACCTTCTGCAGAACCTCCTGGCTTGGCTGGGGAAGGAAATCCCACCCAGAACAGCGAGATCGGGAAAAAGCTTTATTTGCAAAGAAAATATTGACAATTTACATAAACTTACATCCTAATTTATATACATTATGTATATTTTATATACAGATAGTGTCTCGGATAAAGAAGTGGAAGCACAAACCAGCATCAGTGTATCACCGTGCAGCTCTAACGGGTAACGGGGGGAGTCGTGTCTCTTCCCACAACTCCTCTCCCGTCAGGCTTTTGTTGGGAAGCCGGAGAGGCTTTCTCCCCCCAAAGGTGGTGGGGGTCAGGCTTGTACGTGGGCGCAGCCACGAAGCGCCGCTGCGGTTGTCCCTTGCCCTGTCCCCCAAATCCTGCGCCAGGACCGGAGCCAGGGCAGGTGCCACCAGCCTGTGGCGAGCGGGAAGGACTCCCCGCGCTCCACCTCTTACTGGGAAAATACACAAAGGAGCTAATGCACTTTGCTCATCTCCCTCCCCAGGCAGCTCGGGTGCCCTTTTCTAAGCACCTGAGGTTGCTGAGTCAGCAGAAGGGTGATGCTGAGTCCCCTGATGGGGACAGGGGGTGGCACGGAGACTGCGACCGCTTACCTGGGTGAGGAAGGCGCTGGAAGGAAGCAAAGGCTGGGTGGTTTTGGGTAGGGTGCCATGACCTAAAGCCTTTACTGAAGGGAATCCTTCCCTCCAAAGGGGCTCTGAACACAACGGCCGAGCTGACGTCCCTATAAATTGTCTCCGTAGAGGGGAGCTTGGGAGGAAGAAGGGTTTCGGACACTGTGTTATATACCCATTAGCTGCCTGCTACATTTCTGCAGCTGGAGTCCAGCCAAAAGTTGAGCAGCAGAGCCAGTAAGT